CCTGGGGGATCTCCTCCCAAACCTGTATCAGTCAGCTCCTTCATCTGTCTGTGGTGGGTGCAACCTTAAATGATGTTCAAGAGGTTCTGGATTCTCTGGATAGTCAGGTCCTTGGTATGGGCAGACCAATCAATAGCATCAAAACCCTCATCATTCAGGAACTGCTGACTCACTCCAGCCACATGAGGTCAGGCATTGTTACGCACCAGAAAGAGCTCAGGGTCCACTGCAGCAGCATTTGGTCTGACAGTGGGTCTGAGGATCTCATCTTTTCTCTGACTAGAAGTACTACATGTGGAGTGCCCCAAGGCAGTTGTCTAGGTCCTTTATTGTTCACTATCTTTACAAATGATCTACCGTACGTCTTAGACAAAGCTAATATTGCAATGTATGGGGATGATTCCACTATATACACATCAGCAACAACATGCAAGGAATTGGAAAGTATTTTGAATAAAGAACTACAAGCTGTAGCCGAATGGGAGGAGACAAATAAGTTAGTACTCAACATATCAAAAACTATCTGCATGATTCTTGGGTCAAATTATATTATTGATAACAGTCCTGTGTTAAATATTAAAATTAATGATATCATTATAAATCAAGTACATGAGACCAAACTTCTGGGCGTGACAGTAGACAATAAATTATCATGGAAGAAACACATCAGCAATATGACTGCAAAGATGGGAGGAGGTATATCTATTATGAGAAGACATGCTAACTTTCTACGGATTGACGGATTATCCTTTGTTTAAGTGTCTTTTTGTTTAGATACTGGTTTACATTTATTTTGTTTGTATAAGTGTTTATATTTAAGTCCATTGTTGTATGTATTTTTATTTTTTGTGGACCCCAGGAAGAGTGGCGGTTGCCTAGGGCGACAGCTAATGGGGATCCAAGTAAACAAACAAACAAATAAATCTTGGTACCTAACAACAGTCGCAGTATCTGAGGCTAGCAGGTTGGTGTCTGTGCAGCCCTCCAAGTATAAGCTTCCCCAGAACAGCACTGACCCACCACTGAACTGCTCAGGCTGCAGAAAGTTCTCCACAAACTCTCACGTCTATCACGTGCTCAGGGTGAACCTGCTCTCATCTGTGAAGAGAACAGGGCGCCGATGTGGATCTGTGATTCTGGTGTTCTCTGGTAAACACCAATCAGGCTGCATGGTGGGGGGCTGTGAACACAGGCCCCAATTGTGGATGTGGGGCCCTGATGGAGTCTGTTTCTGATTGTTTGGTCAGAAACATGCACATGAGTGGTCTGCTGGAGGTCATTTTGTCAGGCTCTGGCAGTGCTCCTCCTGGTCCTCCTTGCACAAATGAGCTGATAGCAGTCCTGCTGCTGGCTCGTTGTCCTCCTGTGGCCCTCTCAACCTCTCCTGGTGTTCTTGCCCGTTTCCTGGTTTCTGCTCCATGCTCTTGACTCTGTGCAAGGATACACAGCAGCTACACTTTCTGAAAAGCTTTTGTGGGGTGCAGATAACTCCTCATGGTTCCTCTAGTGGTAAAAAAAATGCAGAACTAGCCAAGAATTAGTCAGACAGGATAGGGAGAGGGAAATGGTGTGTGGCCTCTAGATGTAAACCCTCCATAATAGGGGTTGTCTTATTCTTTGCCTCTCCTATCCACCTGTTGTCTGTCCCATTTGCTCCTGGTGAAAATAGCTACGTTTACATGTGCAAAATTTCTTGATCTGTTTAAAAATTTGAAGGATCAGAGAATCTGAATCCACTGTTTATTTGGGCGCAAAATCAAATAAGCTGATCATGATGTGCGTATACATGCAAGTTTTATTGAGATTAGAAGCATTTGGACATGCGCAGAGTTGTCTATGAAGAAGAGCTGTATTGAGGCCTGTGCTGTCAACAAACCAACAAACGCGGTGGTGGCTCACTCCATCCAATTCAGGAGTTTTCCCCCCTGTTAAATGTTGTTGCTAGATGGCGCCCTTGCGCACTTATTTTACTGTTCTGTCAAAGGTTGCATGGTGCGTGCAGATGTGACACCATTATGCTTTATGTACGCCTTGTTATGTTACCAGAGGAGCAGACACGGCACCAGTGGTTGTGTTTTATGCCAGAATGTTAATAATGAAACCTCCTGTACTGGCCTTAATAAATAAGTCAAAGGCTAAAGTGTGAAGACCGAGTCAGGTAAGAGAGTCATAAGCGGAATAAGTGGACGTTTTTCAAAATAATGATTGGCATAAACCAGCCCTCTTGATTGGAATACAATTTCTTTCCTATTGAGCCGAATTGGATCAGAATCTTCTGATCAACATGTTTATATGATGCATTTTTATTCAGATCGGGCATTTATTCCGATTATTTGTGCCTATGTTAACGCAGCTATTGATTAACAGTTATTGTAGACTGTTCGATATCCTGGCAGTATGATTGACTTACTGAGTTACACTGTGATGAATACGGGTTTCCTTTTTTTTTTTTAGCAGCATATGTAGATATCGCAGACAACTGTGGTTGTTTTTATAGTCCTCCTACTTGCAGAGCACCAACCCCTATCATCTGTCCAGACAAGGTTATCAGCCATGTGTTTGCCATCACCTTGTATAAGCTCATTGCTCTGTCACAGGCTCATCCTTTTCTTTTGTAGTGTGTCATAACACCAACAACAGGCCTGGTGAGCATGCTCCGGCATTTTCTAATATGTATTTTAATCATTCAACCTTTATTTAAACAAGAGAAACCCTCATTGAGATCAAGAAACTATTCTCCATGAGTGTCCTGGCCAAGACAGCAGCAGTGAGCAGAGTTTCAAACATGCATAAAACAGTCATATTTATACAACATGATACAATATATGTAGTCAATAACCCACACACAAGTATTGAAGGAGCCGCTATTTATCAGAATCGTCCAGGATTGAGAATTAATTAGAGCATTTGCATTCAGATATGCCTGCCTCCAAGTCCTTCAGCTTTCCCCTGAAAGAATCCAATGAGATTGGCTCATTGAGTTTCAACTCTTTTTGTAGATCACTCCCGGCAGAGGGAGCAGGACTTTTTTCCCAGTGTAGTTCTGACGTTTGGGACCCACAGCAAATAAAGGTCCTGAGAACAAAGACTGTAAGTTTCTGTGCCCTTCTGAATGATGTAGGCCTGAAGGTAGGAGGGTAGAAAGCCAAGAATAACCTTGTAGACAAGAATGTGCCAGTGTTTCAGTCTATGTGTAAACAGTGAAGACTATACCACACCGTCATATAACAAACATTGATGAGGGAGGGATTTAAAGTTAGTTATGAACCTTAGAGCTCCATGATATACTGTAGTAATATTGTCAGTATTGTAATATTGAAAACCCTGCAAAATAAAGATTAAAGGCAGGTGTAAGGGCTTAGGTTTAGTGTTTGAGAACAGCATGACCTTTGTCTTGTCAGCGTTCAACACAGAATCAAAAGCAATTTGAGGTTTGTCTGTAGGATAGTTGCTGAACAGATTTATTGTTTGATCAGAAAGTCCTGACTTTAACAACCTGAATTTAAGAATAAAGTGAACATTTGTTGTAGGTGTGTTCCTTGTATATAATATCACAATGCTACTAGTATTAATGATTTGAAATCTCTGAAGACTCTAATCATAATGTACTGACCCTGGCAGTAGCCCATGTGGCCCTTTTAAAAATTCCCAATGAGAATTTTCTAGTTGAGATTCATGGTGGTTGTTGGAGCACACCGGCCTAAATAAGGCCTAAATACAAACTGGGTAATCAAACACAAGCTGTTGTCCTGACTTTGAGCAGGCGTGCACACTCAGAAACTGAATTTTCCTCGTGAATGCATGAATGCAGCAGGGGAGTTGTATGAAGACTGATCTGATGAGGAGAATTTTGCAAATTCAGGCCTCCTCACAGTATGTAGGTATACTCTCTAACACTCTGCAGCCTGGCAGGCAAAGTCTGAGTCAAACAGAGACTCTGGTTGTGGTTCACACATTCTTCAGTGTGATGTTTTTGTGCTCAGAGAAACGAGTTTCCAGCCAAAACACAAGAAGAAGAAGTTTTGTTGTCCCCCTCAAACCCCAGTGTTTCCGACCTCTTTCCTCTCCTTTCATGGCTTTTCTTCTCTTCTGTGGCTGTCAGGATGGGGAGACTCATTTCCATATGAAAAAAGGAAAAAACCATTAAACCAATTAAGTATTTAAAGCAACACATTCAAACTGGAGCTTTACTATCTTTGATTCCTGGGAACTAGCGAGAGACACGGTCTTTCTCTATTTGTCGTTTCTGTATTTGGTAAAAATTTGGACTTCGCAGAAATTTATCATTTACAAAAATCTCCAAATTATCAATCAGAAAAACAAGGGCTTCATTCAGCTTATATAGCTCCAGTAAAAGTACTACATCAACGAACAGGGTTAGGGTCTTACATGTCAGGTCCTGCTTAAATGATTCACAGCACATGAAGTTGAGTGAACACGTCAACTAGTAACTGTGTGAATCTACTGTAAGGTGGATGTTTGAACAGGTTAAATATCAATGGATATTAATGGACCAATGGTGGTGGATGGCTCCTCTCTCCTCGCTGCAGGACAGAAAGATTTAGAAGATCTTGTGTACCCACAGCCATCAGACTTAACAATTCTTCAATAATTAGTAGATGACTTTTTGAGACACAACAAATGAGACAACAGACAATTGAATTTTCCTTCTAGGATCAATAAAGTTATTCTTATTCTTATTCTTATTCAAAGGATTGAATTTAAACACATTTTAAATGATAAAAGACTGAATGTTTAAAGTGATGGAGGTTTAAAGGTCATAAGTAATATGTTGTATAAAACTGACGGCTTGAACATGCTGGAAGTATAAAGTGAGTGACAGTGGGGCTCTTTTCATATCTTTTAAAGTACCTTAAACAATCATAAACCAAGCAGACTTAAACTTGGATGTTTCTGAAATCTCACATTATTCTGCGATCAGCTGTCTGTGTCCCGGTTGTGTAATCACCACCTCCCATCACACACACACAGACACATTTACACAACTCCCCTGGTGAGTCTGTGAGAGGGTGACTGTGTGACAGACTGTGAAAGGACCAGAGGGACAGACAGCTGCTGAGTCTGGAGGAGCTCCTGAGCACAGCAACAGGGACAAAACCAGGGACTAAGACAAAACCAGGGATAGGGACAGCCAGGGCTGCTGAAGGGGCACAAACTGAAGTCCCTGGGGAGTCGAACCAGATTCTCTTCTAATCCGGAGTAGATCACCTGTCTCAGAGGAGTTTTGAAAGTTTGAGTTTTCTTGTTTTAACTTGTGGAATTAATATAAGAGGCACGGAGCAGCTCTGGGATCTGGTCTGTCCCAGATCTGGTTTGGATTTTTATAAAGTTCTGTTCCCAAACAGGACGCCAGCTGTGATCTGGACCACAAAGTTCGCTTCTGTGTATTTACATTGTGTTGGATCATGGTGGGGGAGATGGAGGTGAAGGAAAAAAGTCGAACAAATCCGGATTACTTGATGCAGCTCATGAACGACAAGAAACTGATGACCAGTCTGCCCAACTTCTGTGGTATCTTTCAGCACCTGGAGAGACTCCTGGATGAGGGTGAGACTTGATACTCCATCTGTCTGTCTGTCTACATAGGGCAGAAATCCACTTACAAATAAACCTTTTAAAAATAGAACATCATGAGAAGTATTTATATGGTCAGCTTTTTATGCAAACAGAGTGTAGTGTAGCTCTATCAAAAGTATCAGTGAAAATTAATTAATATGCCATGGGAATATGGTTATTATCTGTCATTATCATATAGTTTTTATAAACTATTGTCCTATGAAGCAACATGCGATTGAGAAATTGTGAATTATGACAGTCTTCTAATTTTTGTATGAAATTATTATTACAAAAAAAAAGCATGTATTTTTGTTTTAACTTAATCCCTCAAAAGTAATACAGTAATTTATACTGTATATGTACAGGTACCAGAGCTAGTTCCTATTTCTCCTACACCTGTTCTGATTCTGGTTCTGCTTTTCCAGAAGAGTTCTTGTCAATATTTGATTTTGCTTCAAGTAGTTTGATATGTGAGAATGTGTAGCTGTGTATCATCAATATAGCTATCGTAGGAAACAGAGCCAAACTGCCAGGTCAGGTGACCTAAGGGGAGCATATATTAAAAAAAATAAGGCAGGACCAAGATTTGACCCCTGAGGCATCCCACAAGACATTGGAAGAATGGTGTGATCATTGTGTGGTCTGGCTGCATTCGTATGTTGTTTAGGACCCTCAGCAAAGCTGTTTGTGCTGTGCTTCCTGATTGGTATCTATCAAAAACATCATGACCTTCCACCACCTCCAGAGGTTGTTTGTAGGCAAGGTTGTTTCAAGGATCTTGGACATAAAAGGAAGTTTGGAGATTGATGGTATGGTAAGATCTTGATGTGTTTTTTTTTTCAGAGGGGGTCAAAAAGCAGAACATGGCCTTGACAAAGAGATTTGGTAAAATGAAACACAGAGATGGTCCAATGACATTGATGACATCCAATGGGGCACAATGTCAAATAGGCACATAGAAGAGCAAATATGGGAGGGGGAAGGAACCGGAGGAAGAGGAGTGCTTTGGTCATGAAGAAATACATGCTAGCTTTGTGCCAATTCGAACAGTATTATGCTCACTGGGTTCTCGCTCTTTCCTCATTTTTCAGTATGTGGTGGTTGTCCTGCACTTACACAAGCATTTGGATATGCACAGTTATCTAATTTTGCTAAAACAACTGCAGAAGAAGAGTTATATTGACGCCTGTCCTCTCAGAATGGACCTAAGAATGGACTGTCAGAATCAGATGGTGCAGTGACATTTTCGTGCTCGCTGGCAGTGCAGAAATTATGCTGAAAACTCGCCAATTCAAACCTAGTCAGCTTTCAGTGCAGGCAGAGGGCAGCTGGTCTAGTGATATTGTAGTAGACTGGCGGCATAGTCCGCATACGTCACCGATACCTCACAGGCAGGTTTCCACAGTGTCAGGCACATTTCAGTGCAATAAATAATCAACAACAACCAATATTCAGTGCAACTATCTGAGTCAGCACATACATTTAGATCTATATAAATATATTCTGATCTATATCTTATTTGATGAACGCGTTTTGGCACGCGTTTGGACACTCAACCTGACCGAATCAACACAGCTGAAACTGCATTAATTTAAATATCCAGTAAACAGTCACACATGATGAAGTTAACAAGATAATTCGTCTCCCCCTTTTTCTCTCTTCCACTTCTTTCTTGCGCAGCTCGACCCGGATATGTCTCTGTGTCCTCTCCCCATCCTGCTGCTGCTGCTGCGGTGGCGGCTGAACAGATGATTTATTTTAGTGATGAGATGAGTTATTTACTTCAAAAATTTGAACAAAAAAAAAATTAAAGAAACTTTCATTCAAAATTACCTTTTAATCTAATGATCTCACATCTTTAAAATTCTGTGAATATGCAATCCGGAGTTAATAAAAATAATAACAGTAATTAATTTTATTTGTGGGCGCCTTTCAGGGCACTCAAGGACTCTTTACAGCGCAATTTAAAGACACATCAGTAGAATAGTAAAACCAATAAAAAACACATCAACACAACAAAGTTTTAAATAAAAAGTTGTAAATCCGGACTCTGCAGCAGAACATCAAATGCTAGTCTGAGTAGGCCTGTCTACAGTTATGAGTATTGAGAGGGGATTTGAAGATGGAGAGTGAGTCATAGTTCCTAATGTCAGGTCCACTCATAAATATTAGTTGCGTGAGCCAAGTTCATTTTCTATGCCAACATCAGTAAAAGAGCCAGGCCAAGGAGCGCAATGCGTCCTTTATGCATAGGTGTTTCTGATTTTAATGCCATTATTGGAATTTGTTTATGTTGTGAACTGTGCGCACAACCCACCTCTATCAAGTGAGGTTTAAATATATGCAACTTGATGTGATTGCTTTTATTTGTGGAAAAGGGTGTTTGTCTTACCAGTTGGTACAACCTTACACACACCAAATCCTCCTGTGCTTGTTTGAGAGAGTGTGGAGGACGCCCTCCGCAGCGCTCACTGTGACACTTGTTGATGGGCTGCCTTCTGTCGCCATCGTGTGGCATTGCTGTCTTCAGTCATCTCTTGGTCTCTTCCAAAGAGATCACCAAAATACCAAAGTGTGCTTGGGCACGCCTCATCGGTGCAGCAGACCTGTTTTGCACCACGCCACCATTAGAGCCCCTTGTCTCTAACGGTGTAAATGCATCACGTTGAAATAGAGCACACATGTGCAGTCAGGTTAGTTTTGCCCAACAGAGAGTGACGATCGGAATACAATCCCTCTCGATGGAATACAATTTCTTTCTGATTTAGCCAAATTGGATCAGAATCTTCTGATCGACATGTTTACATGACACATTTTTATTCCAATCAGGCCTTTATTCCAATTATTTGTGCCAATATAAACACAGCCACTGTCACAGGTGGGGAGTGTGCTGCAAATATTGAGAGTAAGCCAGAAGTGCAAAAATGTGCAGTTCTTCAATTGTCCACCTGAGGCTTGCTGCAAGAACCATGTTAGGCCCCATGTTTAAACATCTGTTTTCACAGCAAATACACCTGGTTATGGGAATTTCTGGTTGCATCACTCATAACAGAGTAAGGGCCTGATCTATATAAGGGGTGCTACATTGCGTGTGCAAACTAAAATAATTGCACATGCTATTAGTGGACATGTTGCTGGTGATCTACTATCATTGCGTGCACATTTGATAACAAGTGCAAAAGTGGTGTGGACCGCCCTCTTTAAATGAGGATTTTGTGTGTGTGCTGTGGAGTTGCACCTACCAATTTGGGGAAGCCAGCAACTGCATAAAAAACAAGGCAAATTTATTTGTGTAGCACCATTTATACACAAGGCAATCCTAAGTGCTTTACAGTTGCAAGAAAATATATTTCAAATAAAGAAAGAGATTCAAAAAATTAAAAATCAAAAAGATGAACAGATAAATGTTTAAGCTAATTACTTATCCAAACCTTCATTCAATATAAATCAAAATAAATCACAAGCTTTTAGACCCAGAGGAAAATGCAGTGTTACAAGAACATTGCTGGCGGGAATCACAGTTGCAAAAAAACTAGTTGCCATTCGCTGGAAACAACCATACTCATTCCTTCCAAGCATGGATTTTAAAATACCTGGACATTGTCTATTTAGAGCTGTCAACAGCTCGAGTACACAAAGCCAAAGAATTTGCAATATAGGCTTGGAACTTGTTCTTAACTGTCCTCTGTGCACTTCAGCTGTAGTGTGTGATTACGATTCTTGCAATCTGGATCCAGGGGGGTGGGTGGTTTGTGTTTGGGGTAGTTTTTTTTATTTATTAATTCATTTCTCTTTGATCGTGTTACGTGCACACATAATTTATTATTATTTAACCTATTGTATATTTGTTTTTATTATTATTTTACTTATTTCTATTTCTATTTCTATTATTTTATTTTTTTATTTCTATGTATCTATATACATTTATAGGTATGGATATATGTAAATATATATCTTATTATTATTCATTGCTGACTTGTACCTTTCTACTTTTCTCAATTAAATAAATAAAAAGTTGATCACAAAAAAACAAAGGTGTGGGCTGAGACAGGGTGATTCTTATGGAAATCATGAATCGTGTCTTTCGTTTTTGACACATTAAGTTGCAGATAAGAATCATTAGAGTTCACAAGAGTTCTTTGCGGTCTTGTTGTTGGAAAATCAACTAGCCAGCATATGGTTGCAAAATAAATGCTGGGTATTTTTGAAAGCTTCTGAGCAAGAATATAAAGTTGCATGCAGTTAAAGGCTGATGAAAAATCAGCAAAGCATAGGCATGCATGTGTTTTCCTACCCTCAAGGTGCCTGACAACCAAGTTCAACAATGCCGCCACAGCCTCCTCCACTCCTGTCCTGGGTTGATAAGCAAATCAGAGAAGATCAATCACTGCCTGTGTCATAGAAAGTAAACCTTATAGAGAGTTTGGGGTGACTAGTGTGTGTGTTGATGTGTAAACATGTGTGACCTGAAGGATTGTTTTTGATTTAGTGGGTTGTGTGAGGTACTTAGCATTAGTAAGTATATCAGTGATGGGGGACAATGGTCGATTTGACCCTCTGTTGAGAATCCAGCCACAGAACCAGATTATAACTAACTCCAAGCACTATTCTTTCCCTCTATTTGGACACTTCTCAGCTCATGACCTAGACCTTTGCAAAATCTTTTTTTTTTTTTTGCACTATTCTCAGACATACACCTCCTAAAGTTAGCTGTGTTTTTAATGTTAATTTGATATTTTTGCATCTCACATTTACATAATTTTAAGCACCAACTGCTGATCACTATGCAGTGGAAAAAGTAATGGACACAGAGTTTGTTATTTCAGCTCAGCCCTTTATCGTCAGATACAATATATTTTGACAATGTACATATCACACTCTTCTTCATGGCCTCTCTGATTTATCGGAGAAAATGGAGGAAAGTTCATAAAGAGATCAGCTTTAAGTGAGTCAATGAGCTCTCTGTGAGTGATGCAGACCTCAGCTGTATGTGATCCACTGGTATTTAAGGGTAATACAAAATTAATCAGACTTTATAATGGCAAAGTGCTTAAAATGTTCTAAAAAAGAGTAACCTTTACCCTATGGTTAGTGCTTTGGTCGAAGACACTTTAATGACATGGTAGAGCTATAGTGGTTGATAGATGAGCTTCTATTCCGGCTCTAAAGCCACTTCATCAGCTGCTCAGTGTGCAGCAGTTGCCCAGTGTATTATGCAGGCAGGACCTGCAGCATCAGATAGGCCACAAAAAAGGCAGCATTTTCAAAGAGCTCCAGGATTACCCGCCCTTCAGACCTCAGACAGTCAAGATGACACTTTTCCTGTTGCTGAAAGTTGTATCATGAGCTCATACATGTGGTAGGGTCATGCTTTGTAGTATGTATAGTGTAAGGGAAGCTGAGGTCAAGAACTCAGCAGGTAAATTTGATTTTTTAAATTTCTGTGAATGAACTTATTAGAATGAGAACATGGTCACTTGTCTCCATGCTGCTTGGTCAGCACCCACTGTCTGTTATTCTCTCTAGATTTCACCAAGTTAAAGAAATATTTTCATTACATTGACTGTGCTGCCTCAGAGTCAGCCCATGTATAACAGAACTGAGTCACATTTTAAATTAGTTACCTTAAATTTGACTTTTTTCCCCCTAGTTTTTGCCGATCAAATGCACAAAGTATAATTTCATTCAACTTTTTACCCACTTGCAGCCTGGAGCTACAGAAATTCTGCTATGGAGAGATATTGCTCAACAAAGATTTATAAATTTGTGAACAACTGCCATGTCCACAGTTAAAGTGGTCTAAGGGAGTAAATATTTTCTATCACTTGAATTTATCTGCTAAATATGATTGAAAGATATACAAACTGCTATTCCTATGAAGTCGGGACATGGTGTAAAAGTGAATATTTTAGAAAAAAACTATCTTCAAATCATCCCACCTATATTCATCTGAAAACACAACAAAGACAAAATATTTAATGTTCAAACTGATGAACTTGAGTGTTTTTTTGTAAATATTCACTCATTTTGAATTTGATGCTTCAGCACATTCCTAAAGAGTTGGTTCAGGATCAACAAAAGTCTTTAAACTGAGGACTGCTCCAGAAACACAAGTTTGGATTATTCCACAGGTGAACGGGTTTACTGGGAACAGGTGAGGGTCATGATTGAGTATAAAAGGAGGATCCCTGAAAGACTCAGTCTTTCACAAGCCAGGATGAGGACAGATTCACCACCTTGTCAACAACTGTGTGAGCCAACAGTCCAACAGTTTAAGAACAACGTTCTCAACTTACAACTGCAGGAATATAGAGATTTGATCATCTGCAGTCCATAAAATAATCATAAGATTCAGATGATCAGAGAAATCTCTGCACATAAGCAGCAAGGCCCAAAACCAACACTGAATACCTGTGACCTTAAATGTCTAATCTTTGTAGAGTATTTAGTTTAATTCCACTGGAATTGGGTTTTATATAACTTAATGATAAAGTGTATATTATTTATGTGTGTATGTGGGAGACGGAGTCCTGCTTTTTTCTGAAAACAGATCAATTTCTCTCTTTTTGTCTCTTTTTTTTTTGGGGGGGGGGGGGGTATTTGAAAATATGGTCATCCTACACTTGGGTCACATTTACACCAGAGTCTTATGGTCTACTTTAAACCAACCCTGATTCATTTTCTCTGCTAGTTCAGTGGTGTCTGGTGCTGACCAAAAATGCAATTCTAGTCTGCTTAGGACTGGTGTGAAAGCAAAGTGTGTCAACTCACGAACTACAGGCGGGAAGTGGTGTAAGCAAAGTCCATAAAATGTAAAATGAAAAACAATGTAAACCCGCAATCCCTGCAAGGCCTTAGTAATCGAAAACTCTTGGATTATTGGATTTCTATTTCCTATTCTGGACCAAAGATCAACTATTTTCTTCATGTACTTTGTCAGTGTTTGGTATGAAAGAAAAACCTCATGAAAATACCAAACTGTTTCTCTTTCACCTTCTTATCAAAGTGATTCTCCTGGGCTATCATGTAAAAAAAAAACCTTAGACCTACTTCTGGCATGTACCTCTCACACTCTCAATCCAAAAACCCAAACTACCCCTTTAATTTTTGTGTTTATATACATGTGTATTTTAGAGATCAGCCGTGTGAGGAAGGAAATGTACACCGACACTCTGAACGGTTCAGAGAAGATCAGCAAGTTGCCGGATGCTGCTGGTCCAAACGTCCATCTTCAGGAGAAACTGTATGTCCCCACAAAGGAACATCCAGATGTGAGTGTGTAAGTGGGTGTAGGTGTGTGGGTCCAGAGTATCCAATAGTGACAGCTAAGCTAAGAGATGTTGTATCAGTGATTAAAACACTGCAGATTAAGCTCAAAACATTAAATAGTGGGTCATTTATTATTTAAGGCAGTCAGCTGATCATTAGAGTGATGAATGAGGACACCAATGGCTGACACACAGCTGCAGTCTGAACCATCATATCCAGGCTGTGATCTCTTTCTCTCTGTCAGTTCAACTTTGTAGGGAGAATTCTGGGTCCTCGCGGTCTGACGGCAAAGCAGCTTGAAACAGAGACAGGATGTAAGATCATGGTGAGAGGGAGGGGCTCCATGCGAGACAAGAAGAAGGTAACACACACACACACACACACACACACACACACACACACACACACACACACACACACACACACACACACACACACACACACACACACACACACACACACACAACAGAAGCGAATGACTCAGGTTCTGAATGTAAGTCTGAAGGAATCATAAATCAAATTATTGTGGAGCTAGCTTGGCTCAGCTAAAGTTAATATGATCCATTAACCTGCACTGTGTGCTGATCGCCAACAGGTGTTATGGTGAGTTTTGCATCCCTGTCAAAGAATGCTACCATAGAGCAAATCAATTCCCAGTCAAGACCAAGTCCCACAAAGAAATCAGAGTTTTGTGGACATTTAATTGAAAGAATTGTTTTGTATTGGTATCAGATGATCCACAGGTGTCCTCATCTCAATTAAGTAAATTTGAATTTGCGTCAAAGAAAACTTATGGTTGACAAAATTAACTCTGGTTCTAACTTAACTAACTACTTTATTCTACCACACAATCATGGAAAGATATTACGTTTAAATAATCGAAATATCCTGGTTGGTTTACCAAAAAAAGAAGATCTATAGTTTGTACTTTTGCTTTCACAATCAAGTGCATTCAGAAAGAGTCACATCTTTATGTGATGGTGCTCATGGGAAATTAAATCCCTAATACTAAAAATCAACAATGATTTCACCCAAAGAGATCACTAGGCTCAGCATAATATTAAAGGTCCTCACAGTGACTTTAACTGTTTTAAATTCACAATGTTGACTACAACTCAACAGATTGACATGTACTTTTAGACAGAAAATACATCTCGACACTTACACTATTATTTCAGTCTCTGTCTCTTCCTCTATGCCTTCTTTTTTTTCCCACGCCTGTCTCAACCTGTATAATTTTACCTTACTCCACTCATCTTTTCTCCACTTGCCTCCACCTGTCTCTCTAACTCTCTGTGTGGAGGAGGAGCAGAATCGAGGGAAGCCAAACTGGGAGCATCTTAACGAGGACCTTCATGTCCTCATCACAGTGGAAGACGCTCAGAATCGAGCTGAAATCAAACTCAAACGAGCCGTGGAGGAGGTCAAGAGGCTGCTGGTTCCTGCTGTGAGTTACCTGACCTGACCTCCCCTTTGACCCCTACCTGTCTATGACTTCATTCTTACCTGTCTGACATTATTACACCTTTCAGACTCTACTTCACTTGTCCATGACTTAAATAACAAATATATGTAATTTTTAACCACACCAGTCTGTGATTTAGAAAGCTATAGGTCTTGGGTACTGTTTCATGATGCATTCGAGGTTACTGTAATCAGATAGTAACTTTTTTAAAAGTTCTATGCAACTAGCTAACAAAAGTTATTATATATGTTTGAGTATTTTTGCATTGCCAGAAAGTAAAACCTCTCAAAAGTCCTGGAATTGTTGCACATGTCAGTCATATCATCTTGATAGTGCCTCAGTTTTTTTTTACACAAGTACATGTGTGTAAAATAACCTTTAAACTGCCGGTGTACTGCTGCGCAGAGAATAATGGGTGTTTCTGTGGGTTTTAGGCAGAGGGGGAGGACAACCTGAAGAAGATGCAGCTGATGGAGTTAGCAATCCTAAATGGGACGTACAGAGATGCCAACATCAAACCCTGTAAGAGACTAACCAATCACGTCCTGTGTCACTGGTCATGTATTTTTTTTTTATCATTCAGTATTTGTTTAAAATTCAATTTAGACTAATTGTATCATCATCAGTTCAATACAATTCAGTTTAGTTTAATTCAGTTCAATTTAATTCCAATCATTAAGGTTTAATTTCATTCAGTTCAGTTCAATTTAATTCAGTTTAATACTGACTGATTTAATTCAGTTTAATTTTATCCTGTTCTACAATTTATATTCACCCATTTACCAATCATTTCAATTTGTTTTATTCAAAGAATTTGACTTAGTGTCACACCAAACATTACAACACTATCTCAGGAGACATTAATCTGATGACCATAAATCCATCCTTTAAAGTTCTACTGGGGACAAACATCTTCAATTTAAGTCTGAATTGAATTAAGCAAAGAAGAGTTTTACTACTCTGTTAGTTGCCATCTCAAGTTTAAAATTAAAACACAGAAATAAAACATTTGTATGTTACTTATGTGTTAGTGATTAAATATGATATGCAGGAAAAGTAAAAAAAATCCTTTTATTCATACACTTGTTGTTTCCCCCTCTGTATTGGTTCAAGAGTTGTTATATAAGTAAACAATATACAGAAAACCTCTGACTGCTAAAAACATAATCACAGTTTTTGAGGCCTTTGAACAACCAAAGACCATCAGGGCCTGTCTGACACTGCAGCAACAAATCAGAGAAATAAAAGATCGCTCAGACCATGACACAACCAGAGCACAAACTTCACAATCATCCTGCTCAGTCTTCTCTACTTCTGTTGCCCCCCCCCCAGCCTCCCTTGCCTTCTGTCTAGCAGCTTCTTCTCAGTCTCCCCGGATGCACTCTGGCCCGGCCCCTGTCTTTGCCCCTCCCACTGGCCTGCGTACCCCCGCCCCCACGGGCCCTGCCCTGGTGCCTCTGATTCGTCAGATCCAGACTGTTCTTCCCAGTGGGACGCCTCACCCAGCAGCTCTAATGCCTGGATCTGGGCCTGAGTCCAGTTTCATCTATGCAACACCATATGACTACCAGTATGCTTTGGCAGCACCGGGCTCCATCCTAGAGTACCCTCTGGACTCAGGTGGGGTATCAGGCAAGCTGCCTCACCCCTGCTCCTGTGACTGCTCCCCCATGCCACACCATCACCCCCATGGCCAATGGAGCCCTGCTCCCACACTGCTGCTCAGACACGCCTCCTGAAAGATGTAAGACTGGTTCTCCACCACTTTACACCCACATGCCTTACTCCTGATTTCAACCTGCAGTGAAGCCCACCGCTGGACTGAGTCTTCATGTCTCCACAAACTGTAGTAATGATGGAAGCCAATGTATAGTTTGTTAAGTTATGGTTATGATGTTTTTGGGAACTTTTTGACTTCTGATGTTCTCCCAATAAATCACTACCAGGAATATGAAATATGTGGATAAGAAATAAAGTTGTATCTTATTTTGAAATATATCTTCATTTTTAAACACAGTCTTTGTTTACAGTCCCACTCCAACTAAAAAATTTTAATGTAACCTCTGCTGTCAGCTCCTAATGGCAGATACATGTGTTTTGCTCCATACATGTGTTTTAAGACTACTCTGACCTGCCACACACCACAGGAGCTGTCTTGTAATGCAGCTCACGCAGCAATTTATTGTGTTACAGATGGCACAGGCAGTAACCTGAAAGCGAGGGTCACATCACTTATTAAAGAAGAAACAAAATCTTTTTTCTCACTTTTACTCCATCTAAAACAACTTTAGTCTTTGCAATTAAATCTTTTCTCCCTCCTTCTTTCCTGGTCCAGAGGCACATATCCACACTTTTTTATATGGTGGTCATTTGATATTCATAGACTAGGGTGTCAGCTGATTACTGACTAATGGGAGCGCTGTCAATGATTGCCATTCAAGAACCTTCTTCTTCTAACAGCCACTTCATATGAATAACTACTGTGAAGAAAGGAAAAGATGGGTCTTTCTTTAATGTGCCATAAATTGTCTTGTCTGACGCCTACGCCCTCACAGTGGTAATGAGCATTATAAAATTATGATCTAGATAAATTTGGGTGCTTTTATAAGTAATACAGAGGCATCACTGTTAATTTCAATCTGTTTCATAACCACTAAGAAACCCCTGACAGGAGCTTTAACCACATGCATTTTAAAGTGATAGCATTGAGGTAAAATCTCAAAATACAATCATAATTGATCAGTCCCAAGTGGCTGACCAAGTTTATCACACAAGAAGCAGGAGTTAGGGGTTACCAGTGGTAAAGACAACTGGCTGTCCATAAAAAACAAAAAAACATTGAACACACAAACACTCATTTAGCCCACAATTAGAGTACAAACCAAAAGCAAACAAAGGACATAAACTCATAAATACAAAATTATCAATCAATAAATCTTTATTTATATAGTGCATAATCATCATAATCCCAAGATAAGATGATTAGGCAAGATAAGAAGACTTTCAAAACGAGCAGGTCAAGACCACAGTCATTGTTTGATGTATTACAAAGACCCAACCTTAGGATGGAACAGATTTCACCTGTCCCATCCAACATGAGTGACAGGCAAGGAAAAACTTTCCTTTAACGGGCAGAAACCTTGAGCAGGACCTGGCACGTTAGGCAGCTAACTGCTGCTGTTAAGTTGGGGGGAAATGCAGAGAGAGGCAGAAAGAGAGCGGGGGAGTGGGGATTTATAGGTATAAGTCTTTCAAAACAGACTGATGGAAATCCAGTAGTATAGAAATGAATCTTTCAGATGAATTATGAGACATGAGAAAGGTGTTCATGATGTTTAATGTCCTTGATGGGCTGTCACTGCAGGGAGCAGAGGCTGGTGATCAAGCCACTTGGTGTGGCACATAACCTGGTCTACAAGTGCACACAAACATTTAAGTCCATCAATCCTGAATTTAGAGTCATCAATACACATACATTTCTGAGATAAGGAGAGATGCTAAAACCAAAGCTCAGTTTCTGAGACTAGTTAAAAACAATAATACAAACCGCATAATATAAAATAAACCACAGTCAGGTACAGACTAAATAAAAAAAACCTTCATAAGCAAAGTCAAGCTGCTCCTGTTTATGAGCCTATTTTTGAGCCTTATACCCATTTTGATCATATTCAGGAAAATGTGTTTACATGCACGGGAGGAAATCCTGGTTATCCTTGTCTCTGTATACATGTTTAATACTTGTATCCTGGTGTCAGATGACTGCATCTCAATTGCACAGGAACCATGATCATTATTCTCAGTACAAACTATTTTAAACTTGCCCCTAAAACATACTGAGAATATAGTTTTGTCATGTACATGTTACCTAAACATCTTAGCTGGATCCTCCTGCCTCCCTGTGAAGGCTCAGTAGCTGTTGTTCTAGAGGAACAAACATTCATGTGCTCTCTGTTGTGGTGGCAGACGGTGGCCAAGCTTTTAACCCAAGTTTTGTCAAATGTGATAGTTCTTCTTCGGTTCTGATGTGACCCGACTTTGTGCAATGTTGCAACTGGTTGATTTAAAACTCTCAGATTAATCTTCATTAACTTCTGCTTTTGTTCATGTTAATCCAGCTATGAAAAAATACAAATCCATATTTTATTAATCTATTGTTACTGCCTGGCTTAAAGGTCTGTAACAAGTACAGAGGCTACACACAGATCAATCAGTCCAACAGTGATTTATGTAACTCTGATAACAAACTGATGCAATATGTGAATAAATAAAGTTGAACTCATCAAGTACATCACTTCAAGTCACCACAGTGTGACCACTGAAAAACCTACAATACAATCATGAGATGGAGTACTGGCTACAAAGTTAGCACAGTACATTACCACAAACATACCAGCAGGGGACATTGTTAGCCTATTTACCATTAGAGTGGGTGACCATAGTGGGATTAAAAGATTGCAGATTACGGCCTCCACAAAACCTCAATCTGACAGAAAATGGGAGAAAATTCACATAAAACTGCAAGCTGTACCTGGCAGTAATACACACTGAGTGTCAAATTCAAAGGGCCTATAGCCCTCTATTGTTACAAGGCATATTGTAATTCAGACCACGGTCTGAGAAAGGGGCGCTGCTATGAAAGCAAGATCTGAAAAAAGTAAATTTATTTACAGCAGCAGACTATTTACACAAAGTCAAAATACCTATGCAGTAAAACATGTACTTACAGAAAAAAATGTGCATAAAGCAGTGAGAATGAGAAATGCTGCTCCTGAGGAAAAAAAAAGGGAATCAAACAAGCTCACAGAGACAGCCGTGAAGAGCATGTGGGTGATGCAGCATGCAGTATCTTTTCAAAGCGCACTCAGCTCAGGGCAAAATGTGCAACGCCGCAATAAAAATGATGGTTTTGCTGTAACAAAAACAGAGTGCGTGCTACAAATGAGGAGCTCTTTCTGAATCCAGTATTGAAAAGTAAAACAGGGAAAAATGACACTGGGGTAAATTAAACTGGCACTGAAGCCAGATACAGGAGCCTATGAGATATTAGAGGCTGTGATCAAGAAAATCAGGACCAGAAACTAAGCACATAAAACACAGGTGACTATGCAAGGATACTGAGGTTCAGAGAAAGCTGTGAGAGGAAAACCTGAGCAGAACAGAAGATGAGAACAGACTGCTAACACCAGCATTCATTGTGGTGACAAAGAACCCATGACAGAATCCAGCACACCTGTTTGAGCACCACAGCTGTCCTCCTGCAGCAAATCATGTCATGGTGGATAAAGGTGTGCCGGCACTCATTTATCCTTGTAATAAGTCTTATTTGTTTTGTTGTTGTTTTTTTAGGCTGGTGAAAGCAAAGTGGGACAGGGGGAGAGTTTGAAAATGAAAAGATTAGAGAGCCAACTGAGCGGGTGAGTCCTCTTATCAGAGTAGACAACAACAATGAAAAGCCAAGTGTCTGCAATGATCCAGGAGATCTCAAATCAAATCAAATCAAACTTTATATATATATAGCACTTTTCAGGCAAAAAGAAATGCAGCACAAAGTGCTTTACAATTTAAAACAATGAGCCCCCCATATCCAGCCCGCCACCCCAACCCCCCAACCCTTACCGAGAGCCCACCCAAGCACACACACACACACACACACACACACACACACACACACACATGTGTCTAACCTGGTGATATGTGATGATGTATTTTCTGATCACAGGCCTGTGAAGTGTACCTTTCTTGCTCTGAGGTTAAATCCGGCGCTCCTGCGCAGAGACGCCGGATTATTAACCCCTCCACTGCCGGTCGCTTCTCTGTGGCTTTTGAACAGCTCTGTGTCTGCCCTACCTCTGCGAACACAGAGGTGCTCAGCTCCTGGTTTCATTCCTTCTGTGAAAATATTCTGGGCTCTGTGGCTCCTTTAAAAACTGTTCGGCCAAAGGCTAAATCGGAGCCCTGGTTCAATGAAGAAACTCGCGCAGCCAGACGAGAGTGCCGCAAAGCTGAGCGAAGGTGGAAGAAAGACAAGCTGCAGGTTTCTTTCCAAATCCTTAAGGACTCCTTGATCACCTACCAGAAAACTGTTAAACAGAGCAAAATACAATACCTGGCAAACTTGGTGGAGGTAAATCACCATAACCCACGTGTGTTGTTTAAAAGTATCGACACTGTTCTAAACGCCCCACAGCCTGCCAGCTTGGAGGCATCTGTGGAAATGTGCAATAATTTTCTGTACTTTTTTATTGAAAAGGTTGTGACTGCCAGGTCTCTCATCTCTGCTCCTGCATCCGACCCCTCTGTGCCTGTTCCTTGTTCGGCAGTTCTTGACAGGTTTGAGCCTGTGTCTTTGTCATATTTAGAAGAGCTGGTTGGCCATATTAAGCCTGCAGGTTCTCCCTGTGATGTTGTCCCTCCCAGGCTGTTTAAAGAGGTTTTCCCCTGCATAGGTCAGTCTGTTCTGGCTATCATAAATAGCAGTCTGTCCTCTGGTGTTGTTCCGCCAGGTTTTAAACATGCAGTGGTGCAGCCTCTACTTAAAAAACCAGGCCTTGATTGCAGTGTGCTGGCCAATTTTAGGCCAATCTCCAAACTTCCTTTTATTTCAAAGATTTTAGAGAAAGTTGTTCATGTTCAGCTAAAGTCTTTTCTGGATGAGCATGGTGTCTTGGAGGTCTTCCAGTCTGGTTTTAAATCTCGCCACAGCACAGAGTCTGCTTTAATAAGAGTTTTTAACGACATCCTCCAGGCAAATGACTTTGGTGACTATGTTATTCTTGTTCTGTTAGATCTAACTGCAGCCTTCGACACAGTGGACCACAATACTCTGGTGGCTCGGCTAAGCTACCTTATAGGTGTCCGTGGTACTGCACTAGAGTGGTTCAAGTCTTATTTGACCGACAGAACAATGAGCGTGAGCCTTGGAGATATAAAGTCCAGCTCTGCTCCACTGCCGTATGGGGTTCCACAAGGGTCGATTTTAGGGCCCCTGCTCTTTTCTTTGTATTTGCTGCACCTGGGCTCCATCTTGAGAAAGCATGGCATTTCATTTCATTGTTACGCTGATGACAGTCAGATATATGTGCCACTTAACAAGAGAAATGCTTTCTCCCTCACTCCACTTCTGGCGTGTCTTGAAGACATCAAAGCCTGGATGGCTTTGAATTTCTTAAACTTCAATGAAAAAAAAACGGAAGTGATGGTCTTTGGTCCCAGTGGCCCTTGTGAAACCTCTCCTGTAAACTTGGGTATTTTAGCAGATTATTTAAAGCCAACCATCTCAAATTTGGGTTTTAAGATGGACAGTGATTTTAAATTCGACAGGCAAATTAGCTCCGTAGTGAAATCCAGTTTTTATCATATTAGGCAGCTGGCGAAGGCAAAGCCTTTTCTTTCACGTACGCACTTTGAAACAGTAATCCATGCCCTTGTTACATCTCGGCTGGATTACTGTAACGCACTTTATTTTGGAGTCAGCCAGTCCTCCCTCTCACGTCTCCAGATAGTTCAAAACGCAGCCGCCCGGCTCTTAACTGGAGTACGTAAGAGGGAGCACATTACTCCCATCCTGGCCTCCCTCCACTGGTTACCTGTGCATTTTAGAGTTCATTTTAAGATTCTTTTATTTGTTTTTAAATCTTTAAATGGTCTGGCTCCATCATACCTCTCTGAGCTTCTCCACCCCTACACCCCAGCTCGGTGCCTCAGGTCAGCTGATCAGCTGCTCCTGGAGGTACCGAGGTCCAAACGGAAGCTCAGAGGGGATAGATCTTTTTCTGTTGCAGCCCCAATTTTATGGAACGAGCTACCCCTCCAAATTAGACAAGCCCCCACACTGTCCATTTTTAAAACTCGTCTTAAAACCCATTTTTATTCATTGGCTTTTAACCCTGCATGAGACTCGGCTCCTGTTTTAGTGTTCTATGGTTTGTTTTTAGTTATTTGTTTCTATGTTTTTAAATTAGTTTTTAAAAACATTGGAGCTATATTTTATTATTAATTCTGCTTTTATTTTATCCATTGTTTTAATTGTTTCTTGATTGTTTTTTATCTTGTTGTTTTTGTCCTGTTATGTACAGCACTTTGTACAGCTGTGGTTGTTTTAAAGTGCTCTACAAATAAAGTTGAGTTGAGTTGAGTTGAGATAATGCAATCTTAAAAGGGTGTGGGTGAGTACAGAAGAGCCAAGTCAGGAAACTTCAGGAGGCCGACTGCACTGGAGGCTGCTCACGGCCCAGGACCAGGACCTCCACCTGGGTGCACACCCCACTACAGGCCAGTAAGGGGCCCACAGCAGCAAGCACTGCTGCAGACCACCACCTGGCCAAGCTGAGCGCACACCACGAGGCAGAGAAACCCTAGACAGAACCAGTCACAGCCTCCAGTGCAGGTGGCCCCCCTACTGAGGAGACACTGGAGAATTGCAATAAAAACATAAACTAAATCAGCTAAAAACGTCAAACTAGATAAAATTATAAGATACTGATAAATAGCTAAAATACCATTTAAAAGATAAGTGAATAAATAGAATAAACATAACATAACATAACATGTAAAATGAGGACTAAAATATATACATGAAGTAAAATAAGATAAAACTAGAATAAACATATAGATTAAAACTAAGACATTAGTTAAAAACCAAATTAAATAGGTGGGTCTTGAGCCTGCTTTTTAAAAGTATGAACATTCTCTGCAGCCCTCAGGTCCTCCGGCAGGCCATTCCAAAGACGGGGGCCATAGTGCTGGAAAGATGCCTCACCGTAAATTCGTGTTCTCACTTTGGGTACTATTGAAAGGCCAGTGCCAGAGGATCTCAGGGCCCGTGAGGGTTCATATTGTAAAAGCAATTCTGAAAGATAAGAAGGTCCAAGACCCCTAAGACATTTAAAAACCATTATAAGGACCTTAAAATCGATTGTAAAGCACACAGGGAGCCAATGCAGTGATTTTAAAACCGGTGTAATGTGTGCCCGCCTTCTGGTCTTTGTCAGCACACGTGCTGCTGAATTTTGCAACAGTTGTAAACTTGCAATGTTTCTTTTTGGAAGACCAGAAAGCAGGGCATTACAATAGTCAAGATGACTGGAGATAAAAGCATGCATTAGCGTCTCTGTGTTAGCCCGGGAGAGAAAGGGGCGGACTCTGTCTAAATTCTTTAAATGATAAAACCCTGTTTTTGTTACGTTTTTAATATGTGGGATAAAAGTCAGCTCTGAGTCAAAGATGCCGCCCAGATTCTTTACCTGATTTGATGGAATTAAGATCAGGGTTTTCAGTTTTGATAAAAGTTTCTCTCCCTGAGCCTTAGGATCGATAATTAAAACCTCAGTTTTGTCCTGGTTGAGCTGTAGGACGTTTTCTGCCATCCAGGAGCAGAGCTGTATGTCATCAGCATAGCTGTGAAAAGTGATACCATGCCTCCTGATGACATCTCCCAGTGGGAGCATATATAAATTAAAAAGTATGGGGCCTAAAATTGAGCCTTGGGGCACACCACATTTAATGCTATGAATCTTTGAAGAGCATGTGTCCAAACTTACAAGAAACTTTCGATCTGTGAGATAGGAGTTAAACAATTGAAAGGCAGTACCAGAGAGGCCTACAAGGTGCCTTAGTCTATTTAAAATAACTGTGTGATCTACTGTATCAAAAGCAGCGCTTAGATCCAGTAGCACAAGGACTGTAAGCTTGTGTGAGTCCAAGTTGCACCTAAGATCATTAACAATTTTCAGTAGTGCAGTCTCGGTACTGTGGTTCGTCCTAAATCCAGATTGAAATTTCTCCAGGATGGAAAGTTTATTTAAAAAATCATTCAACTGAATAAAAACAAGTTTTTCTAAAATTTTGCTTAAAAATGGTAAGTTAGACACTGGTCTGTAGTTATTAAGAACATTAGGATCCAAATTTTTCTTCTTCAGGAGGGGTGTCACTACTGCCGTTTTAAGGGCAGCAGGGAAAGAGCCCGTCTGAAGAGAACAATTCACTATATTTAAGAGCTCACCTTCAAAGAATCCATAAAACATTTAAAAAGTGATGTGGGAATTGGGTCTAAAAGGCAGGTTGTTGGTTTTACTTGGGAGAAAACTCTACCAAGCATCTCAGCATCAACCAGGGCAAAACTGTCCAGTGTTTCCTCAGGTAAAAACAAGCTTTTCACTGTATTAGAAACTGTGTTTTGAATAGATAAAATAGAGGATCGTATAAAATCAATTTTATCCCTGAAGTGGTCTGCAAAACCTTCACAAAGTGTGCCTGAAGGAGTGATTTGATATCTGTCAAAAACCAAGTTGATTAAAAGATCAATTGTAGCAAAGAGGATTTTTGGGTTATTTTTATGATCCGTGATTATGTTCGTGAAATAGGTGGATCTTGTGTGTACATTTTCAGTTGCTCGCAGTATATTTGATGATTAATTGTGATTTCATTTTTCCTCCATCTCCGCTCAGCTACCCTGCAATTTCTTTTTAGTTTTTTGATTTCCTCATTTCTCCACTGTGGTGTGCGCTTAGGCAGTACCTTTTTTGTTTTCAGTGGAGCTACAAGGTCGAGTGTGGTTTCAAGTTTGTTGATAAAATGTTGAACAATAAAATCACAGGATGCAGGTAGAGTAGCTGAGGGA